GTGATCTCAGGTCTGCAAAGGGCCCTTGGGTGGGTCACCCCTGCGGTCTCGACTGGGAGCTCTCGAGGGCAGGGGCCGTGGCTGTATCTCCTGTCAAGAGCCTAGCGCGGCTTTGGATGTAACAAGAAGCTTGCGTGGTGCGGACAGAGAGATCCACCCGCTTTCCCATGGCACAGGCCACACGGATGGGGTTCCTACCACCACCTAAGGCGCCATGGCGACCTGCAAATGGCCGATGCTCCTGCAGAAGCGAAGGCGGGGAGGTTTAGTGGTGAGAGCACGGGCAGTGGAGCAAAGACTCCTGGGTTATGTTCCGGGGTGTGGAACCAATTTGCTCCGCACCTCAGTGTTTCCTTGTGTAAAATGGGAACTCCAGGTGCCCCTGGGACTCAGCTAATGAATGTCTGTAGAGGGCTGGAGAGCCTTGGATGAATCACTCTGAGGACAAGGGAGCAGTACTTACTTCTTCGAGGCTCCAACTGAGATCGCGGCCCCATTGTGCTAGGTGCTGTACATACACATTGTGACAGACCGTCCCTGCCCCAAAGAGCTTGCCATAGACAGAGGAAGGGAGCATAGTCACCCCTATTTTACAGCTTGGGAACTGGTGCCGGGATGAAGTGACTCTCTCGGGATTACCCAGGAAATGTGTCACAGCTGGAAATTGAACCCAGGTCTCCGGGCGGCTGGGCCAGTGCCTGAGCCACACAGTCCTCCTGTTCCCCTCCCACCTCCTGCTTGTAAGTGCCCACGGGTAGTGGGCCGCTGAGCTCTGCACCTGTAACGCCTGGAGGCCTCCCTCTATGCAGCAGGCCCTTGACCAGGTTCTGAGCCAGTACCTCATCCTGAAATCCACCAGCAGAGTCTGCTGTGCAAACGCCCCTACTGATGCGGCAACAAGCCACTGACCCATTGAATCCTCTGGAAAGTCCGCCTGCTCCAGCAATCAGTGAAAGGCTCCGAAGCAAGAAGGGCAGCGATGAACTGGCATTAAATCGCGTGTTCTTACTGGCAAGTGAGCATGTGGCTGCAGGGTGACTACAGCCTTGTCAGCAGAGCGCTCTGGGTAGAATAGCATTGCCTCTGATGCTGTGCAGGGCCGTGAGCCAGCATCCACGAAAGGCCAGGCGAATTGGAGCAGGCCTTCGATTCTGTTCGCATCCATGTCATTTTAAAGTGTCCCTTTAAGAACATGCACTTTATGCTGCTTGCTATGTGGCCTCCATTTAAAAAACGATCAGCTTGGGGTGTTTTTTTCAGATCCCAAGTGGTCTGTCCCGTCCTGTGGGTGGAGAATGTTGGTGTCAAAACCAGAATGTACAACTGCTATTGTGTCTGCTACACCCAGGCAAGGAGAATAGATCAGGCCCTCCTTTTTTTTTTTTTTTTAACCTGTCCCATGTTACTGGAACAACTGTTCACACATTTAAATTAACAGCTGCTAAAGCAAATGCAAATGAAAGGAAATGTTACAAAGTTAATCTGTGGAACTGTTTGCTGCATGAGTTAAAATGCTAAGGCTGGATTTTTTCCCCAAAGGGTCAGATAACTTTATGGCCAATAATAGCTCTGTTAGTTTTGCATGCTTCATAATCTAAGTGGCTTGCCTTGAAGGCATCAGGAGGGAAATTCCCTGGTATCTGTCTGGACAGGTGCATTATGGCTCGTTGGTTCTTGGTGTAGGCTTTCTCTGCAGCACCAGTTACTGATCACTCCTCAAGACAGGCTACCTGACTTGATGCATTTAGGCTGTAGCGCAGTACGACCAGTCCTACATGGCCATACCTTGTGCCGTTCTAGCTAGGAACCAAAAACTAACTCCCTCCATCCAACCCTGTACAAACAAGGGAATCTCTAAAAGGAACCTGACTTTGCTGTGCTTTGAAACCCAAGAAGGCAAACTGGTGTCGATCTAATGCTGAATAATGAAAGTAACAGCTGTAATCCGTAGGGAGAACGCTGCCATCAAACTTCTAAGAAAATGGTACCAATACGGGAGAGGAATAGAAATCAAGCCATTGAACAGAACTTTCTTCGGCCCCTTTGTTTTTCAGTATCGTTTTTGTTGGCTGGTTACTGCAACAGGGCGAATGTGGCTGGCTTTGAAGCCCTCCATTAGTGTGAAGGGAAATGAGGCAGAAATCTTGCAAAGCAGGAAAAATTCTCCAGTCATGAAGGGCCTGGCAGGCTTCCCAGAGGGAGATCTGACCTGCGGGTTATCCCGGCGCAGTGACAGTCAGTTCCAGGCTGGGATTTGACATGTAAGGCCACAGCTCCAGGAAAGGGCTAAGGTGAGTTTTTAAAAACTCATTTAAATGTAGCACAGATTGCTCCTGTTGACCATAGTGGGTGTCCTATACACTGGCCTGAGCAGGATCGGGCCCTTTGAAAATATCTGCTTATGAATGGCAATGAGTAGATGTGCATGGTCCTGTACAAAGGCCGGAGGCTGGGTCCCTTGGACACGAGAGCTGCAGGCCAGAGTTCCAGCTTGCTCAAGCGAGTAGGCTAAGAACAGCCGAGTGGAGGCAGGGTAGCATGGGGAGAGTGGCTCAGGGTAGCCACCTGAGTGTGCATCCAGCGGATCTGGGGGTGGGTACAGGCGCCGACCGGCTATCCCAAGTCACCGCCTGCTCTTAGCACGCTCGCCCGAGCAGAGGGAGTGTGGGTAGGTCTCCGCCAGCTGCAGACGTAGCTGCGACTCGAAGGGGCTGCGATTCAAAGCAAGTTCTGGCTCGGTTCTGAATTCTGCGCCCAGCTTTGGCGAGTCCCGGCGTGCCCCTCGCTTCCCTCTTCACAGGCCAGGCCGCAGCCCTCCCGAGCGTTGAGCCTCTCGCCCTCACTCCTCGTCCCCAGGCTACCATGGCGCGGAGCCGCAGGTGCTCAGGGTCAGCCGAATGGAGCCGAGGGTTGCCATCAACAAGCAGCCCCTCTGAAGTCCTCCTCACCATGGAAACGGGAGTTGCTAGCGCCGTACAGTTGAAGGGGCTGGAACAGTTTTAGCAGGTGGTTTTTTCATAACGGGCAAGGGAACGACACAACCAGGGCAGCGATGCAGCCCCACTACCCGCCCTGCTGCCGCTGCAGCGAGCAGAGCAAACGCAGCCACCCGTGGGTGCTGGCCAGCTGGGTGGAGCGTGCAAAGACCGAAGGGCATGGGTTGATGAGGAGGGGAAGCACAGGCAGATGAAAGGGAGGTGAGGAGGGGAAGCTGCAGCCTCGAGGGCTGCTGAGTCCAATTATCTAGCGATGGGTAGGTGCAGCACTGCCCCCTGAGGCATGGAACCAGAGCTGCTCCGCGGTGTGTCACAGGCTCCGTACTGCTAGCGGCGATTCACCTTCAGCTCAGGCGCTCGGGGCCTGGGATCATGGAGCCTGCCGCTGCTGTGACGTTCCCAGTGGCCGTGGCATGTGAAGATGGGCACAGATCTGTTGGAATATTGCCCTCTGCTCTTCCTCTCTCCAGTTTTGGAATCGGTTTCTAGCCCCTTCCCCCGGCCCCTCTCCCATGTTAGACCCCTTTGTGTTATTGATAGAATGACCCAGAGCCTACCAGCCCTGGCAGTTGGCTTGGTTTGAAATCCAAACTGACCGCTGGCACCTGTGCTTTGCAGCTTGAGCCAACCCCATCTCTGGCTAGTCTGAAAGCCAGCTGCAGCTGCTTGCAAGTGCCCTTGGGCCGGGTCTGGCTAGGAATCCACTTTAGCAGCAACCCCTGGCCTGTGCGCTATTGTCCTGGCTCCCGTGGAATGGAAATAACCAAGGCAGATGAATAGCTGCCCTCAGGCGTCACCGCTGCCCGGTCCCCCTGTCATGGGATAGACGGGGAGGGCTCACTCCACACCAGCTGCTGGGTCCCTGGGAGATGAAGTTTTCCAACTGATGCTGTCGTCGGGTGGTTGCCTGAGACAGATGGTGCTGGGGACCGTGAGAAAGTACCCTGGAGCCCCAGGGGACTCCCCGAGCCATCCAGTGCAAGGGCATTAGAGCAGGAATAGAGGGACCCCAGCCATTGTCTCTCCAGGAAGCCGTTCATTAAAAACTCAGCTCTGTTGTTGTCACTGAGGGTTTGCAAAGGAGGCTGATCGTGAGAGCCAAACCCCAGGCCCCCACGCCCTGGGGGAAGACGCGGAGATGTCTTCGCTGTTCTGGACAGGGCTAATCAGCTGCCAAGTAAACACCAGTTCCAGCGGGGAGTGTGCGTGTGTGTGTATGAGAGAGAGCCTGTGGGCCCCCATCTCCTGGGAAGCAGCCTGGCGCAGGACACAGAGGTTAGGGGTTCTCTGAACAGGCTGCTGAATCCAGTTTTATCCCAGGAACTGGCAGAACATGGCAGATGGGCTGAAAGACAGCTCCTCTTTCTATGCAATGCCCCCTAGCACCATGGGTTGGGAGGGTCTCCGAGGGAAGCCTGCCCCCTCCTGAGCCACCCACGTCACTTCCTGCAGCACCCTGGCTAGCTGGAGCATAGGCCCAGGAGCCAGGACAGCTGTGCTCTGCTCCTACTGCCCTAGCTGACGGGACAGTCCATTAATGTTTAGAAAGGGCTGTCAGCCCCTCGCAGCCATCTCTTCTAAAAGTGCCACAGATCTGGTGCTTTGCTGGGCTCACGGCCAGCTGCTGACCCGGTTTCCAGGAGCTCTCAGTAAAGAACTGTAGCATGGGGCTGCCACCTCTGAGGTACAAAAACCCAGGCCCTCTGGGTTGATCCTGAGCCCATCAGACTAGGCAGCTGGCAGGGAGGACTCTCAGCCTCACAGATTTTCCCAGGACTGCTACCCAAAAGAGGGGATGATCCCAGGAGAAGATGGCCAGGTGGCAACACTCCCGCCCCACAGCACCCAGCTGTGTTACCACGGCGCTTGTGGGTCCTGGGTCTGTACGCAGGGCTGCCATGATTGCACCAGCCAGTCTCACAACAGGGCCTGGTCTGCTAATTCTAGAGGCAGCATGACCTAGTGGGTAGGGTGTTATACCAATAAAATAAAAACCAGCAGGATCTTATTAAAGAGGAAAAGGCAAAATACCACATTTATTGTGAATACAGAAAGAATCATAGTAAGCAGTTAGTTATAGCTCTAACATTCCATTCCATCTCATATTTATTCACACACACACACACACACACACAGGTTCTGCAAGGTTGTTATCATAGTTACCAGCCTTAGAGTTGCTCACGCCAAGCCACTGGCCAGGTGGCCTGGACATGAGGAGGGAGCAGGGCCTTGTCAGATGCTCATCTGATGCTCCTGGAAGTTGGTTTTCAGAATCAGACTCCCCAAAGTTCTCACTTTTTAGAGTCCATTTTTATAGGAATTTCTTCCTATGCCAGTCTATGGGAATTACTTCATCATGCTGTTGCTGAAGCAATAAACAGATGGCACATTCCTGACGGCTCCGTGCTGCCAGACGTTATCTTGTTCTTTGGTTCTCCCATTCTTGAGGCTGTTGGGTGGATTCCAGTCTGCCCTCCGGGGGTCCTCTGGTTATTTCCACTTGACACCTTCTTCAGCCGATGGACACTGGATTCTTAGGCTGGCACCTCCCTGATCATTCAGTTATTATCCACACCCAGCATCCATCCACATACATCCTCTATCTCTATTTTAATCACAATTGTTAATACAACAAAAGGGTGGGGAGTCTCTGGGTGCTGTTTCTGTTGTTAGCGTATTGCTTTGAGTCTCTCTCTCTGTGAATTGCTTTGAGAACAGACTCTGTCTTAGAATGTACTAACACAATTCGCAGCTTGCAAGTTTCACACATAGAGGGAGAGAAACAGTACCAAAACCCAAGAGACCTCTTAATTAGTAATACCCTGGAATTTAAACTATGGGGAATCAAACTCATTTGTGATTTTAATACAGAACTTCTTTAATATGATCCAACAAGGGCACTGCACCTCAGGGGGCCTGAATTCTATTAGCAGCTCAGCAGACAGCTCGGGGCAGCAGTGTGTGTGGGGAGAATGGGGGAGCCTGATATGGAGAGCAGGGGGGAAATGGGAGCACACACAGAGCCCCCGCCATGGAGGGAAAATTGGGGACCGTGGGGCCATGCGGAGCCCCTGGCATGGAGGTGAGGGGGGAATGGGGGAGTGGTGCAGCCAGAACCTCTGGCAGGGGGATGAACAAAGAGCCCCTGCTATGTGGGGGAGGAATGGGGGGTACACACAGCTCCTGGTGCAAGGAAATTGGGGGAAGGAGAGTCATATGGAGTCCTAGCCATGGGGGTATGGGAATTGGGGAGTGCACACACAGCCGCTGGCGTGAGGGTAGGGGAGAGGTGTTGCAGTGGGTCCCTGAAATTGAGGGGGAGGGGAGGGTGGCACCCAGGGATCCTATGGGGGGGATGCAAGGAGCCCCTGGGGTGTGCAGTGAGCTAGGCCAACCCTTGCTATGAAGTACGCCTCTCCCCCGCCCCCCCACCCCCAATAATACTGATATTTATTGGGTCGAGCCCTGATGATCTTGCTCAGTTTTCAATTCCTCCTTGTGCAGGCAAAACTCCCTTTGACTTCCCTGGGAACTTTGCCCAAGCAAGAACCGAGCTTCGGCCACTGACCCAACGTCCCAAGAGAAACCTGAAAATGCACCAAGTCTCGGGCCCTGCTACACACTCAGCCCAGGAATTGGGCCGTCTTCCAAGTGGGGGCTCTCGTGGCCTCTCTCTCCAGGGCTCCAAGCAGCTCGGAGACTTTGCCATGTCTGGGCAGCGACGTGTCAGACTAACGACACGCCGTCAATAAAAATGACCACCCATTTCCCCCTCACCACACAAGCCAGGCTGATGAGCTGTGATGGGCACCTGGGTTAGGCTGGGACTGCAAAGACCCCAGGGCCTCGCCTGCCCGCAATCTGTGCGTTCGAGAAGCTGCGGGTGCGGGTTCAGGGCAGCTCTGTGAGCTGGAGTTAATGCGGCGTTCGTCTTGTAACCCCTGCCTTAAATGAAGCTTGTAGTTAACGAACGTTAGAAGCACAGGAAATTAAAAAGCCAGGCTCCCCTTAAAAAAACCCCCAACCATTGGAAAGCAAGGCAAAGTCCAGCTAAAGTCACCCAATCAACCTTAACTCTGCCCCCGACACCCTCTGTACCTGACGAGCGCCCAGCTTCAGACTTAAATCCCGGCTAGGTGTGTCCTTGCACATGCAGCGTGTGAGCTGGACCCATCGAATGAAGGACGATACGCCCTGTGTAGCCCACTGGAGCACTTGACATGTCATCCGGACGTTCTTTGGAGAAGGACTTCGTAGCCGGCGGTGCTCTAAGTGCCTCAGTTATATACATTTGCCGAGTCTGCCTGTGAACGTGACGCAGCCAGGCTGAGTTGGGTCTTTCTGGCATCGGTGTGTTTGTGAGGCAGAGCAGTGGCTCTCGTTCCTCTCCCAGGCCGGCCTCAGCTTGGCATAGCAGCGGTCCTAGAGCTTGGTGGCTTGCCCTGAACCCCGTCACTCCTTCGAAGGACATTCTGGTGGCTGGAAGGTTGTACAGCGAGAGTTCAGCACAGCGTGGTTAGCAGCTCCAGAGGGCGCCCTGGGCCGGATCCTCAGGGCCAGCCAAGCTGTGCGGGCAGAGGGAATGAAGGGTCAGCGTGAGCTGGGGCTGGCAGCGAGTCACGCTGAGCCAGCTACACCAGCTTCATGCTGCTAGCGCATGCAAAGCAGGTGGACAAGCAAGAGGGGCAGGTAAGGCTCAGGCTCTGTTCGGTGAGCCCAGCTGCAGCTGTGTAAACAGCTGTGGGCACCCAGAGTGGCAAAGGGATTTAAATTCAGCCCCTCTGCTGGGAGGGACTGCCACCGGGGCTGGATTTGGGAAAATCTCAGCCGGGGCTTTAAAATGCATCCTCCTGAGCCAGGTAATCATCACTGGGCTCATTACACGCAGAAAGGGGACAGGATTTGCCCACGATCACATAACGCGTCCCTGGCACAACCCCAGGCTCCTGGTCCTGTGCTTTAATGACTAGCCCCTCCTTCCGCCTAACAGTGCCAGAGGCTAGTGCTGGTCGTGTGAGAAGAGCTAGGAGTCCTGTCTGAGCTCGCTGAGGAATGCGCCCGCCGGCAGGTTGCCCTGGCTTTGAGAGGACAAAGCGATAGAAATGAACTGACACCCACTGGCAGCTCCCACCCCTGACGGGCAGCAGGAAGGAAGGTCTCCCTTCAGTACCCTCTGAGTCCCAGGCACGGCGCGTCTCAAACAGTGCCCCCGGTCCCCCTGATGTGCACCCACACACCTGCCTTAATTGGAGCCTTACAAGCTTTGTCCTGCTGTGTGAGATGAGGCCAGACTGTTGCCAAGGCAAAGTCTTTGACCTGTGGCTTGGCATGAGCGGCCACGGAAATAGGGGGAACTTAGGTCCGGCCACAGACTGGACCCTCTGCTTACAGCTCCTTGGGGCTCATTCTGACACCAGCATCAGCTCCTGTGGGGGGGAGTCCACCCCCAGGTGGTGGCGAGATGGAGGGCTTACAAACACACCTCTCAAGATGGCTACCAGAACACCGGCTTTCTTCTCGTGCCAGCCACAGGCCCGCATTGGGCACAAAGGCTGCAGCGTTAAGTCTCCTCGGGTGAGATCCTCTTCAGGCACCTAAATCCAACATTTAGGAGCCACCGATGTTCTCAAACCCATCGCTCAGCTGCTGCCTGGTCCTGTAGGTGCCTAAAGAGACCCCCCAAGTGCCTGTTTCTGCTGTCAGGAGCGTGCAAAGCCTCCTGATGCTGCCCTGCAGCTAATGAGCTGCTCAGAGCCCGAGCTCTTGCCTACGGACTTCTCGGAGCTGGTGTTCCCCTGCCTGTCTCCACAGCAGGGCCCGAGGCCGCAGGTGGTCTCAGAGCAGGTTTCCTAGGTTGGGCTCTGCATGGAGTGAGGATTTCTGGGGTTGGCTGGCATGCGTAGCCTGGATACCAATAGCTCAGTGGCTAGGGCACTTAGCTGGGCAAGCCAGGACTGAAGCCTCCCTCTGCCTGAGCAGAAGCAAGGGCTGAAACCGCCGGGCAAGCCTGGGGTGGGTTTCTCTCCATCTGAGCTGTTCCACCTGGTATAAATACGTAACTATTCCATGGAGCAGGGGCATGACCCTGATTCTCCCGCAGAAGCGCCCAAACCACCGATCTGTAGTCACCCGCTCTTGTTCCAGCGCAATGAACGGTTAATTGGTTATACAAATTACAGCTCCAACAAGAAAGGCCCCTCCCCACCCAACACTTGACAGCCTGGCGGTCCCAGCCCTCACCTGGGATAGGGAACACCTGGCTTCAAGTCTCTGCTCCCAATCATGCACAGCAGGGATTTGAATTGGGGGCTGCTTTGTCGCACTCTGAGGGTGGAGACTGGCGTCACAGACCTTGTGATGCTATGTGGCCTGGAACCAAAGGGTCCTCCCAGAGCTAGAGCCAGCAGGTCCCTCCAGGGTGCATAGGGAGCCACGCAACACTGGGTGGGGCTCGTTCGGATGCATTGTTCTTAAACCCTGGGCGCTGTTCATTGTGCTGTGTCCTGGTAGGCTGCACGCCTCCCACTGCCAGTGCGTGTCGATGGGGCTGTCCCTTAAAGCATGGTCCCATCCTTGGGGCGGAGGCGCTGTTAAGGGAAGGTATTGGTATCCTGGTCCGCAGCAGCAGGCCGGTAGCCCTGATGGGCACTGACCCCAGTCCTACGGCTCACCCTTCAGGGGGGCCCCGTTTCACCCCATCCCAGCTGCTTTATCGCACTGGAGCCGAGCTCTGCCCGCGGGGCTAGAAAGTGGCTGCATCGCATGGGCCTAGCTCGCTCTGCCAGTGGCGACTGGGTGCAGCAATGATTCCTGTTGCCTTAAAGATCTCGAATGAAAACACCCTCTTCCTGTGGGTGTGTCAAGCCCAAAGATTTTACCTGGGGGCGAACCACTGCTGGACAAGTGGGAAGGGAGCTTGGTGCAGTTTTGTGTAAGCATCGCCCTGGCTGATCTGTTGTTTTTATTGGCTGGCTGAGCACAAGTAAAGCAGCTCAGGTCAGCAGCAAGACAGGCAAGGCATCGGGAGGGGAGCAGCATCCGTGGCCACTGACGAGCATAAACAGAGGACGTGCCAAGCAGCTTCACAGGTACTGCTAATTGCTTTCTTTTCTTTACAGTCAAGGACTTGCTCGCCGGGAATAGACCACCGTGAGAGAGGGCAGATTAGGAACGGGGTGGGATCCGAGTGCAGTCTGAAATGTTTTTATTTTGACCTGTGCCTCATGCTCTCCGGGCTATCCGACACTAACTATGATATCTATCCCATCTGTGTTCCTCACCAGTGCTAACCATCCCGTAGAGCCCAGGCCAACCATACCATCTATTCCGTTTAAATCACTGATGCCAAACGCCACATCTATCCGATGCACGCACCTCTGCTACCCACAGTGTATATTCCATGCCAAATCATTTCTGAGTGATAAATCAGTTCTTCAGCTATTTACGTCTGTTTAAATGAGAGCAAATAGATCTGCATACAGAAGATCTAGTCGAAATGAGAAGGTCACTGTGGCTTTTGTTTCTTTGCGAGTAGTCTTCCTCCCCCACCCCGAATCTTTTATAAGCTTCCGTATTGCGGAAAATATATTGTATACCGAAGAATAGCCTTTAATCACTGGGAAAGATGACTAAGTATGTTTCTGAGCTCATGTGATGACTCAAAGCACCTTAAAGCAATAGATCTGAGTAAGAAAGAACACATACAGCGGATTAAATGGTGCACAGCGAGACAGTTAAATATGAAAGCGCTAATGGATTATTAGAAGGCTGTGTTCTCTATGTAGGTGGCTTGCTCTAGTGTGCTTAGATTTTTCTATGGTGACATTACTCTAAAGTAAGTGCCTATTAGGCTATGGTTACAGTACAGACCTTACACTAGCTCAGCCGGACGGCTACAGCCGTTCCGCTGTAAGGTCTCCCGTGTAGCCCGACAGGAGAGAGCTCTGCCGCCGGCATAATTAAACCACCCCCAACAAGCGGCAGTAGGTATCTCTCCTGCCGACATACTGCTGTCCACACCAGCGCTTCAGTCGGTGAAACGTACGTCAGTCGCGGGGGAGGGGGGGTGTTTTTTTCACACCCCTGAGCGACTAACGTGCTAGTGTAGACAAAGCCATCGTGCAGGGCGTGATCACCTTGTCAACCATGGCTCGGATACTATTGCTGCTTGTATAGATCCCAGCCAAATCTCCTGGGGTCCTCTGGGGAAAGTGGCATGAAGTGAAAGGAACAGGCACTTATGTTAGACCACAGCCTGCAGGGTTACTGAGGGACTCCCTGCTCCAGGACTGATCTATGGCTGCCTGTTCTTGAATCCTAGGGAGATGGCTGAGCCTAAGAGCGATGTCTTCAGCAAGCTGTGGGGTTCAAATGATTCCAACGTGACAGCTGCACCTTGGGCAGGTAAAGCACCTTCCTTTCGCTTTGTGTTTATTTCCCTTTCCTGTCTCCGCCCCCCCGGCTCTAAATCTGACATGTCACCATGAGCGGGACATTGTGCTGCAGCCTGTCACTCACATGGCTACCTGCTGTCCCAGTTAGATTGCCATGTGCTGGCTACATTGTCTGCACACGCGTGCTCTGTCCACATACAGCCACACTCCGCCTGCAACCACAAAAATCACTTGTGCCAGAATGTTGACTCATAACTAACATTCTATATTCAATGCTTCTTGTGGCCTGAAATTTGGCATTTTAAGTCACACGTTTAACGTCATTTAGTCCCTGGCTATCATGACCCAGCTCTTAGCTAGCACTTTTCATCAGGAGATCTCAAAGCACTTCCCAAAGCAGGTCAGTATCATTATCCCTATATTACAGCTGGGGAAACCGAGGCGCAAACCAGTGAAGTGACTTGCTCAAGGGCACCCAAGAGGCCCATATGAGTTTAGGTACACACCCACAAATAACAGCTGTATGCGGCGGTGTAGACTTAGGGTTTGTCTACACTTACAATGCCTGCACTGCTATAGCGTTTCAGTGAAGATGCTACCTACACTAAGGGGAGAACTTCACCTGTTGGCAACATAGTTACTCCACCTCCACGAGTGATGCTAGCTATAGCGATGAAGCCCTCCTGTTGCCACAGCACTGTCTACAAATGGAATTTGGGCAGTATAACTGTGACACTCAGGGGTATAGATCTCCCCCCCCACGCATGGTCTTTTCCCTCTGATGTAAATCAGGTAAAAGCCGGGGTTGCTCGCAAATCACACTGACGCTGTCTTTCCATGCCCAAACACCGTGGCGGAGTTAAGTAAATGGAGTTGAATCTTAGAGGTGTGGAGCTGGTTGGGAGAAGGACCAAAGGATCAGATGCTCCTGAAACCTCATCCAAACTTCCCAAGGGTGAGGAGGAAATGTTTGAGACATTCTCATGGTAGTTTGCGGGGCTTGTGCTCCCAGCCCCTGCCAAAGCCAGGCAATGCGGAGGCAGCTGGAGGAGTGGAAAATAACCGGTCGAAATATTGTGAATTCAGCTCATTCAGAAGTAACCCTTGGATGTCAGGCAAAGACCCCGGTCTGGTTGTATTTGTTTGGTCTTGTGCGATCTAAATCCAATCTA